CGTCCCTCTATTAGCAAATGCAGAAGTTGAAGGCAACTTCTGCTTCGGCCGTTGCATGACAATGAAGGGTTCTTTCACAGCATGGAGCTTTGCTGCCGATCCAAAAGCCTGAATTGGTGAGGATAACGATACCGGAGTGCTGGTTGTTGACCGCCTTTTATCAACGGAAGCAGCCTGAGTTCGCGATGAATCAGTGATCGCCATCAGCTTGGGTGATATTCTCTTAGGTGCCTGCTGATGGTTCCTGTTAGCAGATTCCTTCAGTTGTTGTGTTATTTCTTTAATGGGACTTCTTAACAATATTGCGCTGTTATGAGGAGCTGAGTCCTTATGATTTAGCTCCATGGAATCAGCAGATTGATCGGAGTTGAGCACAGTGGCTGCAGAAACAGTTCGCTTTGACACCTTCAAATTCTCATCAGCCTTAAACAAATCGCCTTCGCAAGCAACGATGGCCCTTTCAACATCCTGTCTCGAACATTTGTGCCGAACCTCCATTTCCACAATTCTGGTAAGCTCATCTGTGATATCAATCTTAACGGAGGTCTTATCTTCCAAGTTAAGTGAAACCTGCTGTTTGTTATTCCCGTCCCCGTCCTGCAACAACCAAGCAACGGACTCCTCCATCTTGCCTTCGTTCACAATGACAGCCATGGTTGCTCGATCGGAGGGGAACCCCATCGAAACAAGCAGGTGAGAAAGGGCTTCGAGCTTTCTAGAAGTCAGGAAAGAAATGCAGCGCTCGTGTAACTCTAGAGCACGCCTCTCCTTCTGTCTTCGGTGCTTTCGCTCGTTTGTTTGGCGAATCTTGCCTTGTTTGTTAGGGTTGGAACCTGGAATGGTTTCTGTTTGTGGTGGTGAGTTAGCTAGTTTCTCCTTTTGGTCCTCCGACTCGCCGGAGCAGCTACCGTTGTTGGACGAAGAATCATATTCTGCTGTTGAACTCAGTGAACTCCCAGAATGATCATCCAAATCATCTATGGTTCCAAACCGACCATTGCTCTGAGATGGTGGGAAGGAAGAAGATGACATCTCAAGGGCTTGAAAGGTTCCCATAACTGGATCAGTAGACCCAGCTAGTGAACTATTGCAACTACTCCAATGCGCGGCAGAAGGTTTCGGTGAAATTCTTAACTGTTCCTTGCCTGCCTTTGGGGTGGACTTGTTCTTGGACTTTGACTTGGATGCGGGCGACATATCTGAACCTGGTTATAATAGCAACCTGCAAATTGGTACAAATTCATAAACTTTGATGTAAAACTAAACAGTATTAGTTGATTTACAAAAGAGACTAGCAATGCATGCACAACGGTAGTTTGAGATTAGTTCCATCCACTTAAAATCAACAAATTTCAAAAGAAAAAAACCAAGATCCATCGCTTACACCGAGTAAAAACAAAAGGTCTCAAAACTTATCCAAAATGGACAATGGAACGGTATAAAAAAAAGGGGGCATTTACATATATGCCACCTAATTCTTATGTATTTACATTTGTAACACCTAAAGTTTATTTTTTTATATTTATATAGCCTAAAACTTTCATATCACATCACAAAATACGACTATTTTAAATTTTGAAAGTGAAATACACCTTTCATGAATGGGTAAGGTAAGGTAGCAGCAACAAAAACAACAACAACAACATAAATTCTTTTTCTCCATTGCGTTCTATTTAGTGTCATATTTTCATTTAAATCTAATAAATTAAGATCATTTTTTATACAATTTACCCGAGTTTTCCTAGGTCTACCTCTGTCTTTCTTAACATAAGTCGAACCTAAAACATCTACTTTTTTAATCGAATCATCAGATGGTCAACATTTAATGTGACCAAACCATCTAAGACGACTCTCAATTTTTGTCTGCCACTAGAGCTACACCAACCCTATCACGGATATATTCATTTTGAATTTTGTCTCTAAGTGTAAAGCCACTCATCCACCTAATCATTCTCATCTCGGCAACACTTAGCATGTATGAAAAATTAAAATTTACGTGTTAGAAATGTAAATACATAGGAATTGAGAGATCTGTATGTAAATTTTCCAACAAGTAAAGAAATCACAACAATGCCACCTTTCATTAGCACCTTGGCAGATCTAAAAAGCTTAAGAGATCTCCAATAACATTAAAATAATCAAATAACAAATTTAAAAAATATATGCACATAATAAAATTAGAAGTTAGGCTTAATCTATGTTGCATGAATACGGCTACAGGGACATGGACACGAAATGAACGCTTGACATGTCTATTATTAAAATTTTAGAACACAGACATGACATGCGCCAGATGCACCATTATATATATATATATATATGTTTAATAAATAAAATATTAAAAATAAATTAAAAAAATTAATAACATTAACTTTTAAAAATTAAGAGTCCGTTTGGCACCACTATTATTTCTAGTTTTAGTGTATATAATTTTTATATATTTTATTTTATATTAAAAATAAATCAAATTGTATTTAAAAATAATCAAAATATATAAGAGTGTATTTAAAAGTAACTATCTCAATCAAACATGTTTTAATTTAAATCAAAACATAAATAAAATAAAAAAATAAAAGATTAAAAAAAATCACAAGCAGCCCTTAAGATGTTAATAGATAATTATTTAATTTATGATATTTAAAAGTAAGCATATATTATCTTATATACATAAACATTTAAGTACTCTTAATCAATTATTCATTACAACAAATAAAAGAATCAATGAATTTTTTGGCAACGAAGCTTATGTATTTACATATCTAGCACATAAATTTTGGGTTTTATATTTATTCCACCCAAATATTTCAAATTACATCTAATAAACCACAATTTTCAATTTTAAAGAGACACACACACACACACACACACACACACACACACACATATATTATTATTATTATTTCTATTACTATTCCTATTACCCTATATATATATATATATATATACATACATGTAAGTTGGCATATATATAAAATTTGAAATTTAGATGTTCAATACGCAAATACATAAAAAATTGAGTGGTATTAGTCCCAAAAATATTTTTAAAAAATTTTTAGCTCATCAATTTATGTCACACGACACCAGCGTCCTACTCATGTCCAATTTTCTTTTAAAATATATTTAAACCAGACACTTCTTTGTCGTGCCTGACATATGTCAAAGTCGTGTTCTTGTCTGATACAAGTCCGACCCATTACTATTCTTTAATTAGAAGTGTGTGTGCATCATAGAACTCAATCCAAAACTCAACAAAGAATTTCATGTCTCCTAAAAAACCAACCATAAGAGTCGACTTCACTAAAACTCTTTCAACATAATTTTATAGATTTTAGTAAGGGTGTCAATTCGGGTCAGTGAGTAGGTCGGATTCAACCCGAAAATGACCCGACTTGAGTAGGGTCAACACGAACCCGACCCAAATAATAAACGGGTCAAAAACTAAGACCCAAACCTGAGCTTAAGCAGCTAACCCGAACCTGAGCAAAATAATGAATGGGTCGAAAATTAAAGCAGCTAACCCGAACCAAACCCGAACCTTAAGCAGCTAACCCGAACCAGACCCGAATAATAAACGGATCAAACTCAAAAAAATGTTCTCGTCAACCCTAAAATTTTTCGAGCCGAGCTCGAGTATTGTTGGCGTGTCAGGTGAATTTATGACACCCCAAGATTTTAGATCATTGAAAAAAAAAAGAAAAAATATTCATGCAATGGGCTCCATTATCTTTGTATATAAATAATTGGCCTTCATGGAACAAAATCAAAGTTAATGGGTCTTCCTAGCCCGCATTACAACTAGCGGATAATTGAAGGACTGAATGGTTTTCTTCTCATCACCAGGCATGACCCACACATTTTTTCTACCCAATAGACACACTGAGGCAACTCGCCGAACTGACTTGCCAAACTGACCCACCGGAATGACTTACATATGCAACCACTTCGCCAAGCATGGAAGTGTCAACCATCACATTCCAACAGGCAAGATTGGTTCCTCAGGCAATACACTAAGTTTGCCCAACCAGTGCACCTTAAGATTGACAAACAACCGAAGTCAGGATCAATATCAAGATGCTAACACATGTTCTTGAACATTTATTATGGGTGTCAATTTGGGTCATCGAATTGGGTTCAGGTTTGGCCTGAAACTGACCCAACCCAAATAGGTATGATCTGAAACCCGACCCGAATATTATTCGGGTCAATAACCTCAACCCGAACTTGACCCGACTTCAACCTATCAACACGAACCCGACCCATACAACTCATTTAACATAAGAAATAACCTCTATTTAAGTTAAAACTAGATCAAGTTTGACCCAGTTCCAAATCATTTTCAGGCTGATGAGTAGATTTAAAGTTAATTTTGAGTTGGTTGGTCATTTTAGAGTTAGTGGGTCGACCCAAGCCCAAATTGAAAAATTAAATGGGCTATGATCTTTAACCCAGACCCGATTTAGAAATTAGTTGGATCAACCTGAACCTGAATTATTTGAGTCACGTTCGGGTCAAGTTGATGTATGGGTCAACTTTTGATACCCTACCATTTATGAGATGCATGGCGTTCACATTGTCATCTAACTTGGTGATATGTTGGCAAATTGCAATTGTTGTTATTTGTAGTTTTATGTTCTATATAATAAAACTGCACTTATTTGGAAGGTATCATGTTGTTTTTGCAGGTTGTAGCAGGAAAGGGGACGAAGGAAGATTGAATTGGAGAGTTGAGCAAAATTTGGGCCATTGAACGCATAGGCGCCTGGCAACTGGCGATTAGGCGCCTGGCAACTGGCGATTAGGCGCCAGAACCCTCTTAAATTGAGCAAAATGCCTGAGAATGCAGACAGTTGACGTTGTACATTAGGCGCCTAGGCGTCGCAATCGCGATGCATGACGCTGTTCTTGTGATGAAAAATTTTTAAGTGAGCCCCTAGGCGCGCAATATTCGCGCTTAGGCGCCATATCATATTTCCAAACCGAGAGCATGCAGACTTTGAGATGAAGGGGGGGGGGGGGGGAATAAAAGTTTTTATAGAGGGGAGAGGGGGGGGGGGGGGGGATATAAAAGCTTTGAAGACGAATTTGGATGGGCTTTTCACCATTTTTTTTTCTTTTGTCATTCTTGAGAAGAGAATTGGAGGAGAAGGCCAAAGCATTAGCAAAGAGATTAGAAAAGAAATTGGGAGGATTGAGAGTGAGGATTGTTTGTTGTTAGAGAAAGCAACAAACTTCTTACTTGTGGATGAGATAGACGTGTTTATTCTTCATATTTTCAGTGTAAAGACTTTGGATTTGATGTTCATGCATACAAGTAAGCTTATTTTGTCGAGATTTATCATGAATAGTGAGTAGTTTTCATGTTTCGCTCTTCGATTGAAATAGAGATTAGATATGACAAGAGATTTGAGATTGTTTGGGCTTTAAATTGAGTTTAAAAGTGTTTTGTTAATGTGCAAACTGAATTTACTTTCCATCTTGGCCAGTTGAATGTTAAAATCTTTTGTGAACATTGATATCCGAAAGGATTCTTTATGGAACAAAAGAATTAACATCATGAATTCATTGGAATAGGGATATTTTCATCGGATTCATGTAGTCTTCTAGGATATGTCTTCCTGTGAGCACTCCAAGAGATTTAGGGAACTAAACTTAAGGCTGCTAATTTTCCTTACACCGTCAGAAGGAGAAAAGGAAAAAATTACTTTGAATTGAGACTAAATTTTTTAATCTAATTCTAAGTCATATTCATCTCTTGATAAATTAAAGAGGAAAGTTCTCAACCTCTGAATTGATTAAAGAATCTTTTTGCTTGTTATGATAAATCAAATTTTCATAGCTTTTGAATAAGTTTAAAAATTGAACTTACACATTGAACCCTTCAGGCTTATGCTGAAAATTGTAAGCTATAACTTTTTTGTATAATTCATCTCGTTCGTTGAGGAATCGACAAACGAACTCAAACCCAGATACTACTGATACGCCATGTATGCTTGCGTGAGCTACCCGTGCTTTGCAGCACTTAGTGTGCATCACTTGGGCATACCATGAACAAACAACGTGCGGTAAGGATAAAGAACTATTACTCTTTTATCCCTCTCTGTAATCCCTTAAGGCTGGGAGACAATCTGGAGGTAATATAAATAGATGCACCCTCCTACTTCAAGTGCGAAAAAATTTCTATCCGAACTCCGAACATAGCTCTACGTGCGGACTCCCAGTAATATGCCGTCATGTGTGCTATATCGGACCCACCTAAAAAAAATTAAAGTGAAACCGCGTACTCCGCAATAACCCCAAAATAACCCTGAAATAACCTCCGAAAATAAACTTCAATAACTCCCTTGAAATAACATCGCGAATGTTATTTCATGGTTATTTCTAAGTTATTGAAGAGAAACTCATATATTGCATTCAATAACCTCGAAATAACCTCTGCGGTATTATTTCGTTGTTATTGAAGTGAAATCGTGAAAGTTATTTAGGGGTTATTCAAGGTTATTGAAGTAAAATATGTGTTTCTCTTCAATAACTCAAAAATAAACATAAAATAACATCCACGGTTCCACTTCAATAACCCCGAAATAACCTCCATTATGTAGCACATAGGGAGACATATTATTGGAGTCTGCATCTAGAACTACGTCAGGAGTCCAGACAGAAAATTTTTCCCTTCAAGTGAGGGAATTGTCTCAATGGTCATCTCTCTCGACATTTCCTCTGTTGGGGAATAAAATGTCAGGGATTAGAGAGCACATATGTTTCCTTCTTTTGCATCCTTCCTATACCAATCTCTTCTAAATTGTATGAATCGACGAGTGATATGGGACCTTATGCCCTAAAATGATTTAACACTTCGAAAGTTGCAGTGAGCGTGGAGTTCATTACCAAACTTAGCGACGAGATCTTGAGCAAATCAAAGTACAAAGAGAAACGATGGATCGCACTAGAGAGTTCGTGATGCAACAGATCATCGAATTAAAAGCGCAAATGCTGAAGGCGATACAAGAAGTAAGACAACAATCCTCCAGAACTAGTTCCAAAGCCCATGCCAGAACAAACACAAGAGCATCAGAATCGATAGTACAGAGACAAGAATCGTTGAGGCGAGAACAATCGAAACAGGAATTCCCGAGAGCAAGACCGAGAAGAGTTCTAACCCCAAGACTAGAAGAAGAAGATGATGATGATGATGAATTGTGCATTCTAGAGAAAGAAATCCTAGAGCCCTCAAAAGGAGTGAGGAGAAATAAGAAATAAAAAGAATAGACAAAAGCCGCTGAAGAATACAATTTTAAGAGTGACCTTAGAAGGTAAAACACCGAAAAAAAATAAGATTTCATCATTGGAGTTCTACAAAACGAGATTAGATGCAGCTGACCATGTAATCTCTTTCGAATTAGTTGTGTTCTCGTTCCGAGCAAACAATGCTGAATGAATTGATTTTATGCTGGTTCAACAACTTGTCTATGGGAGTCATCGCCTCATTAGAAGAATTCAAGCGGATGTTCATAGCCTAGTTTGTCAGCGCTCAAAAGTCACTAGAGAATTCCCAAGCCCTTCTAAAGATCCATTAGGATTTAATAAACACGTAACTTAGAAAAATACCCCAAATCCTCCAAACTCTCATATTTAGGTGGTGATTGCCTGCAACATGGATTTACGTTAAATAAGTTTTATCAAATCCAGTCAATTCGATCGTTTTGTCGAAGGAGATGAACCTCGCGAGCGACGGCGGAATGAAATCCTTACTACGCCTATCAATCAGATTTATTAAATCAGAATTAAAATTGTACAAGCGACGGAACGCAAAAAAAAAAAAAAAAAAAAAAAAAAAAATCATTTAAGAGAGAATTGGATTTATTCTTTTTTTTTTTTATGTTTTGTTGAATTTAAGTTAAATCCATGGCGAAATCCTATTAAAAGTATGCTACCAAACACCCAATTAGTAAATACAGGATTAAGACCAAAAAGGAGGCAAACTAGATTTTAAAATCTGCAAGAAACCCAGCCTAAATCTAGCCACCACACAAAAAAGCCGTTTGGGATATCATTCAGCCGATCGACATAGCTTATGCTACAGATCCGCGGAGATCTCATCAAACCAGGGCCACAGCCATAAAAAAAATAATGTATAGATTAAAATAGGCAGCGTAAACAAAACCAAAATCTAACGGACTTCAAAAAATAAGAAGTGCACATAAATAAGTCAAGAAAAATTCGCCTGTCCTTCAAAGGAAGACTGGATCGACAAAAAATCGATGGCGTTGATAAGAGAAACTAACCTTGCGAGGAATGAATTGGTCCCAAACTGCGCGTCTGCAGACACGGATGCACAGATCGATCAATGAATTAGGGTTTTGAGGGGTGGGAGCTCAAGATGGGGTGAACAAGATAGGCCGATCTCTCTCTCTCGCTCGCTCCGTTATCTTCCTTCTTCTCCGCTCCACCGACGACAGTATGCGACTTGTTTGCCTGCTACCGTACCTGAGCCTTATAAATCGTATTTGAAGGTTGGGCTGATGTCCGAAGCGTTTGCTCAGTATAAATACGCGGAATCCTATGCCGTTTCCCGCGTCGAATCGGATACGGGTATGTGAAAAACATGATCTAGAACCGGTTAACCGCATTTGTTCAATTTACAACTTTGTTTTTTGGTTTATTGTTTGCGCTATCTATATTGGGACGTGAGAAAGTGTCTTCTTCAACATGAGATAATTTTCATTCGGGTAACACATTATTGAGTGTCATATCGTCATATATCTCATCGACGAACAATATAACGCTTAGTGATTTTCCATTAGAACAAAATATATTTTTCCCTCCAATAGTTGATATTTGGGCCTTTGAAACAGCTTGTCAGCTCGAGAATTGGGCAGGTCGAATCCATAGGTCTGCTTGGCATAGAACTCAACATGCTAATTGGTAGGTCAACTTGATATGGTGACATTACAGGCTAATCAGGCAGGCAAGTCTAGGGGGCAATCTAAAAGGTCAACTTAGGATTTGTTTGGAGCAACTGTAGCTTATTGAATAATCTGTTGATAAACTAATTAAAAATAATATGTTGATAAACTAGGTAAGATTGTTATTACAAATTTTTATTTTTATGGAAAAAATCAGATCGCAGTCGGAAAGTTGTCACCACACTTAGATATGTGCTTGTGCTATTTTAAGCTCTTTGAAAACGCACAAGCTGCCAAAATGCAGTTTACCCAAACAGATCAAGTACTTTTTCAAAACATCACTGCACTAAATAAGTTGTCATAAACGGGCCCTTAGCAAGGTTACTTTGCAAAAGAGCTCAAACAAGTTAGCTAGCAAATCTACCTGATAGATCAACTTGGCATATTAACTTAGAAGTACAATAATTGACTGTAATTATTAAATAAATAAATAAAAATAAGAATAAAGGGATGTGTAATCACTGACATTTGTCAACGAAGTTGTTGCATATCATGTGGCTATGTATGAGAGCTGTAGCGCCCAAGGGTGTGCTTCGAGTTCAAAATAGCCAAATCATTGTTCGTCATATTTGGATTGACTTGTGGGTGAGTTGCTTTAGGCCACGTTCGGGGGTAATTTTTTTCCCACGGCGCGGCACCAAGGCACGCCCGTTTTTTTTTTTTTTTCATTTGTTGTCGCATTTTCGGGGTTGTGGTGGAAAAGTTCTGCAGAACACGGGCAGCAGGTTCGACCACGCGGCCTGCGTTATCTATCATTCACTGCGGGCACCCCCCCACTCTCGACACAAACGTAACGGATGATAAGCTTATCGCTCTCGACCCTTTCATCGCTTCCGGCGCTGGTTCAACTCAGCGAAATAACATAGGAGAAGCTTATCGCTTACGATGGATCCGATCCTAAGAAACCCCATCTCATGGCGATCAAAGGTCAGATCCACGAAGTGTATTACTTACGATGTTACCGATTAATAAGTCCATGTCCAGCGAGCCCAGAGTAAGCTTCTCTTCTATAAGGGTG